TAGGTATATATATGCTTTTAATTGATTAGAACAATGTTCCCGAAACAGGTGCGGGCCTAATGGACCCGTCTGCCTGGCGGAGGATTAAGTGACACGCGATGAAATTAAATGCCGTTACCTCTAAAGAAATATAGGCGCGATCGATATAGATACGCGTAGTATAAATATGGTGCTATCCAAGGTCCGAGAGATGCGCTTTAGATCGCCACACGGGCCGATGATAAATGGCCAAGTTAATGGTCGACGTACTATTAATGAGAAAAGGGATTTGTTGTTGATGTCGGCAAAAATGAGTCGACGAATCAACGTAAAGGGCGGCAGTAGATGTTTAGATTAAGTTTTTTTTTGCTCGTTTTTGTTAGGATCGACCATCGCGGTTGTAGTGGGATCTTGAGAATCTTGACTCCATCCTTTATATATATTATAATATATAAAAAAATTTGTCTCACATTAATTTTAATTTGTTCAGTTTGCAAATACATTTATATGAAACATTGGAAATGTTGTAAAATTGTAATATTGAAATATTGTAATATTATATTATTGTAATATTGAAATATTGTAATATTACAATCTATATATTAAAATATATACAACTTCAGTTTTATATTTGAACACTGCATATCAATACTTTCAATGAAAATCAACGTAATAAATTGACCCTAAAAGAGACAAACAGGAAACATAAAATATAATATCTCAAAATTTAAAAACAGATATTGGATTTTTAAATCGTTATCGTTGCTGTGACTATTATAATATATTTTTGATTTCTAACGGATATGACGTAAATTTTAATATACGTTGAATGCTATAAGCAGATTAATTTTGACAGATTCTCGCTAAATATTATGTATATAATCGAATGATTAAATATAATCGAATACGATAAATAAATGCAAATTTTACGTTTATTAACGATGAAATATCAAAATTCGTAGAATCAGTTTACGGTATCAATTTTACTTCATCGATTCACACAATTACTCTTTGTAGGAGATGCATATTTTCTTTAATATACAAATAATAAATGCATAATAAACCTATCTCTTTTAATGCAAATCTTTTGTATGGTAGAGGTGTTTGGGGGAGTGAGGATAGCTAACATAATATTAGGTACACCGCTATTTCGCACGGATATAGTTTCTAATATGTGCACAGAGCTCATATCGCGAACATTCACGTTCGGTTAATGTCTCTATATTCGGGGGTTCGTGTTTATATCGCCGAAGAGAATGTATATATTGTACCAGGCGGATGTGTTTATTGTCTTCATTGTTCCTCGGTAAAGAAATATTTAGGCACTAGCTTGGGATCTTCGCGTAAATTTGCGGTATGAAATCAATTAGCTCTCGCAAATTTAAGCAGAATTTATTAACAGTCTTACAGCCTTCTCAGCTCGTTTGTATGCGGGACATCCCTATTGTAACACTTTCGTAGCGGGGCAAGTACTTGAATGTTCGCATTCGGACGGTCTTACATATAAAACAATGTCGCAAATTAATTCCAAGCATTGTACAAAGAATAAGAAATTTGTCTCCCCCAATTGTGGCTTTAAAAAATTTACATCTGGATATAAAAAAAGGTAAAATAAAATATTTCAATTTGCTTTTTAAAATATTCGATTAATTTTATTACGATAAAAATTCTAAACAAGAATCTAAGCAAACTGTAGTCAAGTATTCACAGTTGTCAGGATAATGATTACAGATTACATAGCTCGGACACGCGTTCTCTGTCATTACTTTCTGTGTACCTTATACAAGTACGTTACACGATAAGCTAACAACCCCTAATAATTAAGTTCGGACGCGCGAGCACGAGTCTAGGAGCCGGGTCTACGGTTAATTCGCGTGCATCCATCGGTGATTTTCAACGTTTAATGAGAAATCTAAATTGCGGACTGAATGCCGCAATGAGTTCCGCCGCAAAGTTCCACGGTAGTACGCGCGAAGTTGGCGCAATCGGAATCTTAAGATTCTCACCAGGAAGGTTAATTCCACTTAATAGTACGGAAACTTCAATTTTCCAAGGGGTTTTATAAGTTCGATAACGAAGCCGTAGAGAGTTCGTCGCGTCGCTTCAGCATTGCGAGGGAGAAAAATTGTGGAGTCTCGCAAGAGACACCGTGGATTACGAGATTTTCGGGTCAAATTTCGCCTGCGCGCGTATTTTAATTTAAGGCGAGCTGAGGATGAATAACACGATTTAATATTCGCACTCCGTAATCGGCTCCGTCGCGCCGATTCGCTCGACGATGGTGGAAAATGCGTTAGAAAAACACTCAGACGAAAGAATAACAGGACCCACTCGAGCCGAGAAGTGTGGATCCCGTAAAGCGGATAGAAATCTTAGTTTAATATCGCACGGTTTGTTCGCGATAGAACGTTTGATTGCCCCTGTCATTTCGAATCTTCTCGCGTCACGTTGGTGCGCACCTGCTGGCGCGGCCACCTGATGCCGATACGCGGAAAAAAAAAAATAAAATAAAATCAAGAAAAATGTCAAATAATTTGAAAAAATTTCTCCGATCTGCGCGCAATTATTTAATGCAATTTCGATATAATAATTTTGGCATTTTCTGCTATTTTTTTCTATTACGTCCAGTTGATAAAGTTGTAATATGTGAAATGCAATTGGAATAAATGTGTGTGCCATATACAAATATATCTCACACAACTTTCTCGCGTGTGATTTGACATATTATCCCTCAACCCCTTGAATTTAATTTCTCCTTCTATTTACACATTATCGATGATAATCAATAACCAGCTTGTATTCCGTTCAGTGCATTACTATTTTCTCGCTATTGTTGCTCATTATTTACAGATTGCTATTAATTATGGTTCTCCGAATGAAAATTAATTCTTGATAAAATGTACAGCATGTGTGATCGAATTACGCTCGTATTGTATTTTGAATAATTCAGATCGTGTAATCGTCAGAGCGTAGTTATTGCCGCGCCAGTATAAGCGCTACCGTGATATTAACAACATTTACGCTCTCATTTTTGTTAATTCTCTTCTAACTATGTAAATTATCCCATGATTGATGGAACAATCGATATACATTGAAATATCATGA